AAACCTCACTATATCTGAATTATTTTGAGGCTGACACTCCAAGATCAATTTGAGACAAAATACTTCTAAAAATCTCACCTTGTTTTATGTAAGTTAAGCAGTACTGATTACTTAATAAAATAGTCATGTGCTGAATTAATAGAGAGCAGCTACCAATTTCACACACCAACACTGAATTATTTCAGCTAGTGCTAAAAAGCTACTTATTAAATTAGTTATAGGATTATTTAAATTTAACAAAACAAAATGATCCATCTCTCTAGTAGAATAGTACATCTTCAAACTGGTATTGAATTAGTAGTTCCCTTTGTAAGACAACAGTTGCATTTTGAGGTAAAAATTGGGTTGGTGTTTGAAAACTGAGGCCCAAAGCATTGGCCATAGTGTCAGGAGCCAAAGGACTCACCTTGGCTCTTCTAAAGCTTTAGAGTGAAGTAAGGACACACACTTAATCACTGCTTTGAAGTTTTCAAATTGGGAATCTCCAAGGCCATTCAACTCTTCTCCCTTCTCAGCAGCATTGTGAGAACCTCTGGTGTTGCAAGGACAGTCGCAGTTCTGCATCTCTGCTTGATTTGCCGATCAGTCTATCACTGATGGATAGACAATGTGAATGAAATGATGGCTCCTTTAGAGCACTGTGGTGACTGAGCAGATGATGGAGCTGTTTGTTAGAAGAACTTGGGTATTTGGGAAATCTGAAATTGTTATTAGACTGTATTTTAACAGGGAACAGGAAGGCTCAGGAGAGTCGAATCAATATAAAAAGCACTCGGGGATCTGAGCATCCAGCTTGCTCTCTGTATGCTGATATGGCTCTTTGCCCCTGTCAGCTTCAGAACAAGCAACCTGTGTGGAGGGGACTCTGAGGGCAGATATCTTTGAATTCCAAGGCATGAGCAGCCATTTTGTACTGTGAGGATCACTTTGATGCTGCCTTCTTCTGCAGAATTGTCCAACAGCTTGTTTACTTTGTAGGAGTTGTACCTCACTGTGTATTCAACACAGGTTGATTACGCCTGGGACTTGCTGGTCTTTGCTTAGTCACCAATCCTCTGCCTGGTCTTGCAGCTCCTGGGCAGGCTCCTGAGGGGCAAGTCTGAGCTCCTGCCCTGTGTTAAGGCTTTTACATGTAGTTAGCAAACTCTGGTTTGAAAACTCCAGCCTGGGTTAAACCATGCTGCCAGAACCCATGCACTAGTGCCACCCAAAGAGGAAATCCTCCTGTTTTAAGTCTGGGCTGTGAGCTGAGCCAGGGCACCTGGGTGAGGCTTTATAGCCCAATAACCTCTTCTCCTTTGGGATGTGAAGGCCCTGGAGTGCTGCAGGTGGGGAGGGCTCACAGTGGAGCCAAACCTGAACCAGTGTACACAGCAGTGCTTTCCCTTTACCGCTGGCTGTCCTCTGCCACTGATGGAGATAATGGAGCAATGCAAATCCTCCAGACAGAAATCTTGAAGAAATATATGATGCTTTAGTTGGGAAATGTTCAGCTTTAAAAAAGGGATTGTGACTCTACCTCCTTAAGAACTACAGCACATCAGTGTTAAGCTGATGCGTTTGCAGTTGTGGGGTTTATTACATGCTGTTAACTGACTCTCTTAAAAGAGTCAGAGCTGTCGGGAAATAGGTTCTCGCATGTTTCACTGCTTACCCTGTGCAACCACTGTGCTGCTGCGGTGGGGTTTGGGGATGTCTCTCTTTGCACAGCTCACCAAATGCCAGCTATGAGGATGGGAACCAGCTCTTCACATAAAATGGCTGGTTTATCTCCCTTGGGAAGGGCAGAGATGAAGCACAGATGGAAGAACGCTGGTGATTCATCTATCTCTCCCTTGCCAGAGGCTTGTTCATGTGTAGTCTGGTGCTGTTACCTCACTGGGGTCCTGGTGCTTCCCCAGGGAGACCATTTCACAAACCAATAAGCTTCATGACTAAGGATTTTCCACCAATCCATCTTTATTTTGTCATGCCGTTACCCCCTATTGCTGCCTTCTATAGTCATTCTGGTCAGTCTGCCTGCTGCATGCAGCTAACAGCCTCTCGGATCCTAAGGGATTCTGATTAGTTTTCCTCTTACCTGTTATTAAGTCTTTTTCTTAAAGCTTCTGGCTCTCTGCTAGTAGGTAGTCACATCACAGTTGCTTTCTGGGGCTGAAGCAAAGGTGGTAGCTGGCAGTGGGGCCTCTCACTGTGACTAGCAGTAGAGGTTGAAATTATTATTTCCCCCCTTCCCCAGATTCAGACACAAAGCTGCAGCACCCACAGCTTTGGGGATGCAGAGTGAAGGAGCTGGAGCTCTTTCTCAGGGCAGGAGGACAGCTGTTACCTCCTCCTTGGGGATTTGTTTTGGGTGAAGTTACACATCTGGAAGAGCTGGTGGTAGTTACATTATGGCTGATTTTTGATAAAAGCCTTTAATAAAGTTCCTTTATTCCTGTGGAGGTCTTGCTCCTTCCTGTTGAGCCAATGGTACTGTAGGTAAATCAACAGGGCTTCTGCAATTCAGGAGACATGTAATGTATTTTAATACTACCTGTTGCTGTTTAAAGCTGTTATTTGTGGCATTTTCCTACTTCCTGCGAACCATGCTCATTCAGAGTACACACCTGTGTGCGGGGTGGTCTGGACTTCCGCTCTGGGTAGTATCAGCTCTACAGCATCTGCCTGCAGCTTGTGGAGGGCTGGCAGGGTGGTTAGTGCCTTTTCCAACTAGTGTTTCCAGAGCTTTAGTGCAGCTCACACCCGTAAATGACTGTACAGGAGTCCAGTGGGATTCCTGACAGCTCCTCGCTCAACACGAAATTGCCCTAAGTGCTGTGCCACAGAGATGGGGATGTCACCCCTGCTACAGAACAAAGAGCTCTTCAGCACTTGCCAGAGGGATGCTCAGGAGCTGGATCCTGCCCAGCAGCAGCATTGTTACACAGCCACAAACCGAAGCTTTCAGCCCAATTAATTTGTCTTACACTGATTGAAGCGGGGAACACATTCACCTGCTCCTTACTTGTACTAATCTTTTCATTAACTCTTAATGAGGGTGTGGAGCTATGTGGACAGTATAGGTCTCTCTGAATTCAAATAATCCACTTGAAATTAGTGGAGATTCAGATTTAATTAGAACTGTGAAAGGCAATAAAATCCACCTTGGTCATTTGGGCCACCATAAAGCAGTATTTGATTTAATACAATTAGTTCAGAGTCAGGGCTCAAGCCACTTCAGTGGTCTACAGGGAGCATCCCTGCTGCCTCCTGTGGGTAGAACAACCCAAAGACAATGGGGAGCTGCTGGCCTGCTGAGGAGAAAGCAGGTTAGAAACTCCTGCCTGGGGTTTGTGCCTAAAGGCAAAGGCTTCAACCCCAAGCAGAGAATGTCCTCTGAACACTTGCAAAGCTGAAAACATGCATCAGACACATGCTGAAAACAACGTGGAGTCTCAAAAAGTCATCTTTTCAGCACAGGGAAAGGGAAAACAAAGGTTATTTGAAGCTGGTGGTACTGTCCTGGAAAGCCAGTAGGTGCACACATCCTCTGGCCACCTACTGCTAGGCACCATGCAGCACTATGAAAACCAGACACGTTTGGCAGTCTTCATTTATTCAGCTTAATGATTTAAAAAATAAAAATCAATAAATAAACCAGACATCACCAAGGAAACACTACAGTGAGTGGAGTACCATCGGGAACATTAAACAGAACCCCACCACAGCTTAAAGTACCTCTCCATGCCACAAAGAACAACCATTTTGTCAAGCCTCGCTGTTCACAAACGCGACCGGCTGCTGTGCACGAACCTTCGTGTGTTCATAATGCCCTATTCATTGATACAGGATTTGTCACTCTCTCCACACAAAACCCCACTGTTCAGACCAGGGCTTTGTACGTTATTTGCTTGCCACTGCTGGCAAAAGTGCTAAAACTGTTTATCCATTCTCCTAGCAAGAGGGATGCTCCAAAGCAGCACCAGTCCCCCAGGCTGGGGTGGGGGTTTCCCTGCTGGTTTCCTATGCCATAGGCATAACCAGTTACCAGCACAATCACAGCTCCCCAGCCCTGGGGAGCAAAAGTACGAAGCTGAACACACTCCTGCCCAACCCAAACCACATTCCCATCGAGTACTAGGAGCCCCACTGTAGATGGGGTGTTTTCTCTGCCAGACATTCCAGTTTTCCAGTTACCTTTCCCCATCACAAAACCACATGTTGTGGTTGGGTTTCTTTGTCAGAGAAAAAAAAAAGAAAAAAAAAAAGAAGTAATTATCCTGAAAACAAAGTAAGTTATCAGCTAAAGTGCAGGACCCCTGCAGCGAGACGTACCCAGCCATTAAACTCAGCACATCAAGTTTAGCTTAGCCCATAGGGATTCTCCCTTACCCGCACAAACAGTAACAAATTCGGTTTTGGAAAATAGTGCCTATAAAACTTGAGATACACCAACACATCATCAGCACTTCAGTGAGGCTTCATGGCAAGAACAGCACTTAACACCTGCTCTGTATCACTCATTCTGCCCAGGAGAAGCACTGTCCCTACCCAAGCAAGCTACATCATCCTTCTGTGAAGTACAGGCAACAGAACAGTCCCCTGAGCTGTGCTTCATCACCGAGAAAAGAAGCGCAAGCCTTTAGAAAAATACAATGCAAGAAAAAATTTGACATAAAAATATATACCTTTGGTTAAAAACCACCCCTTTAACAAGAGTCCTTTGTAACTCAGCTAGAACAAAAGCTTCACTTAGACTGAACAGTAGTAAAAATTAGTTCTAAGCGCTTATTTCCTAACCCAGAGGACCCTTCTAAAATGTCAGTAATATTTCCCTCCCCCCCCAGGATTTACACATTTGATGTTCATTTTTTATAAGGATTGTTACATTTGCAGCAATAAACTCCACAAGTTTTCCACAAAGAGAATGTTTGTAGCACAAGCTCCTCCACCAACAGTCATTATGGGAAAAAAAAAACCAACCCAAAAACCAACCAAACCCAAAACCCCCGAAGTTCTTAATTAAAGAACCGTTGAAACATGTAGTTTTCTTCAGATACTGAATAGCCAAACTTCTTATAGAAATCCACGTTTTTTGGCAGACACTCAAGAGTGATTTTGTAACAGTTCAGTCTCCTACTTAGCAATGTGAGGGTGGATGTTAATCTGAAACAGACAGAAAACCAACAGTTAAATGAAGCTGGCCTGGAATGCTGGATCAATTAATGGTTGAAGTTATCAGACCTACAGTATCCAAGTTTTGCAACACTCTGTTTGCCTTCACTGCACAGGGCAGTCACTATCCCAGGAAACAAAAAGAACTAAGTACCAGCATCTTGCAGACAACTATGTCTCTGTTTTAAGTACCTCAGCTGGTGATACCTGCTGGCTAAATTCTTGTCACATGCCTGCCTGGGGAGGATCTGCCCTTCAGCTTCACCTGCAGAGCCAAGCACCCGCTCACACTCCAAGGTCTGCTGAGCCAGCTAGGCTGCATCAGGGACAGAAAGCAGCAGGGCAAGGGCTTCCTGCCTGCTGCTGCTGAATGGCAACGGTGGGAAAATACTTACAGTTTACCAAGCTGCTTTCCTCTGCACTCTCCACTTACTACGACATCTTCTATCCTTCCTCTCTGTGAAAATACAGGCAAGCATTAGTCGAACAGCACAGTTGTTAGTTTCCTTTCTGCTTATGTTTCACACTTAGATTTTCTACTGTTTAGACACCACTCCTCCAGCGACCAACATGCTTACAGTGCCCCTTCCAGCACCCAGCAGGAGCTGCAGCCCCACCACAGCCTTTCCCTGCCGAGGGATTTGTATTTCTAGCTCCTTGTTTTCACACATCTAGCTGGGACTCCCTCCGCAGCAGCAAGATCCTCAGCCATCTGCTCCATCAGAACCACATCTGACAAGTTCAAAAGCTCAGTGGAGGGAGAACAGGACAGCCATCCAACTGCTCTTTCTCCTTAAGAGAAGCCAAAGCTTTCCATTACTATTTAGCTGAGCACCCAAGAATGGGAGATACTTTTAAAATGCAGAAGGACCTCATCACACAGTGACACCATGAAAATAACATGCACAGAGTCAGGAACAGGATCTTTTCCCTCTCTACAAAGCTGCAGCGAGAGAAGATACCTTTGCACAGGAGTGAGTGAATTTATGTTCTATAACCAGTGTTGCTGTAGCAACAATCTGTCCAAGGTTTGTGTCTTCTACAACAGTAACGTAGTAATCTCCAGATCTCTTCATGTGCTCAAAGGTTTCTGTGGAAGCAGACAGACAGCACAAGAGTCACCATTAATCTCAGATAAAACTGCTGTGAAGTCTAACATTTGCAACAAGTTCTGAAAACTCATCACTGCAGGGTTCAGGATCACACGAAGATGCACCCAAAACCCCAGAACCTGAAAGCCACAGAGTCAGATTAGCCCAGAGACAGAACCAGGAAAATTAAACAAATGCCTTTTCCTTAGCTGCCAAGAGATCCCTCCTTCCCCAGCATCTCTGCAGAGGGGCACTATGACAAAGGCAGCAGCACCTCTTCTAGGTTTTCTTACATCTTGGTCAAACCAGTGAAGTGAGCTCAGGATGCTGTTGAGCTCTGATCAGAGGCAAAGCCTCTGCCTCGCTACTGGTGCTTCAGTAATTCAGCCAAGACAAGCCATCACCCAGCAGTCCCTCCTAAAGCTCAGCCTCAAAAGCAGGTATACAATTTACCCTGCCCCAGTCAAGAAGCTATCCTTCAGGATAGCTGGAACTGGATCCCACACTGAGTGCCAAAAGCTGCCTTGGGGGAGCTGAGTTAATAAATCCCTCTGGCATCAAGCAGTTGGAAGCCTCACACCCAAGTAGATTTGCTGTCAGCATCATCATCCTTTGGTTCCCAGCAACCTCTATGGAAATGCCAAGAAATAATGATATACTCACTGATAAACTGCTCTGGGCTTGCAACTCCAGTTTCAGTCAGCTGACCCAGAACCTTAAAAAAGCCTGTTATAAAAGAAAGGTGAGGAACAGTCCTCGGTGAGAAACAGAGACACACAATTAGCTCCAAACTGCACTGAACAACCCGACATGGCTGTTTGGAGAGTTAACATCCCCATGGCACCATCCAACTCAGTTGTACGTAAAAGCCTGTGCTCCGCATATTACAGAACTAGACTGTAATCTTAAAATCAAACTCCTGCCTTGTGCAATGCTGAAGGATTGGCAACAAACTGCAGCCTGAGTGCAGAAGATGTACACGTTCAAGCAAGATGTACACGTTCAAGCAAGAAACATATAAGCCTGAAATCTGTGATATTAAACTGTTTCTTCAGAACAACCATTTTGTCCAAGTTGTAGAACTGAAGAAGTCTTCATGCACCAAGAATAATGCTGGTTTCCATTACTTTTCTATTAAAGGGAACAGTACAAACAACCATATTCTCTCTCTAAAGCTGTGGTGAATAGGAAGTTGTAGATTAATTGGAAAATTGGACTTGAATTTTGTTTGGGTTTGAGGTTAAAACAGTAAAAACAATTTGAGAAATTCTAGTGAGAAATCATGCATAAATAACACAGTATCTAGTTCAGCACCCAGCTTTCCTTTGTGGTCATCACAAGTGCAAGGTCCTACACCTGGGTTGGC